CTGTGTGTTAACTCTACTGGAATTTGAATAAAAACTTTTGGAAAAAACAAGTTACTAGGCTGGACAGCCCCCACCTCCTAAGCAAACCACTCACCCCTAGGCACAGAGAGGAGGGGAGGCCAAAAGTGGGAATGGGAGAGGAAGAGTCAGGATGAGAGGGATGGTCAGCTGTGAGGGGAAGGGTTGGGCATGTAGCCCCGCAATTTCTGACTCCTCACTTCCCATTGTGCCACGCAGTCTTTTTCTTTTGTAGCATCGCCTCCATTAAGAACTTCCAGGCAGAGGAGTAGAGATGTAGCCATCTTTACCTTAACAGTCGGTTAATAGTCTGGCTCTCTGAGGCAGAAACCACCCTGGATTTTTGTCTAGGTTCACTGGAAGTTAAATTTTCTTCTTCAAGTTGTTCCCTTTATTCCATACCCCAAACACCACCAAACATTGAGAGCTCCCTTTGGATGCCTGGCCAGTAGCTCACTCATTTTCGTAAGAGACTCAGAAGCATCTTCACACTTCCCCCGTGTCTGCCTGTCACCTCGGGGCTACTTTGCTTAAATGCAAATGGAGGCCTAAACATGACCGTGCCTTTTAAGTTCTGAGTGGTTTGGCTGAGAAAAATCAATGGCTGCTTGGTTGTGCTGGTGATGGTATCCTGTGACATTACATGACCATATGCTGGATTTTGCATTCTCTCTATAAAACATCTATTGTTCCTGATACTGTATCTTTGCCTTTTTGATAATGCTTGGTTTTTTGATTGCATGAAATTTATTTCCTTGTTATTCTGATAGTGAACCATTAATTTAGGTAGATGCCCTTTACCCAGGTGATCCTGGTAGGGCAGCTGTTATACCTCCCTTCTCTCTATTCTCAGCGTGGACCTCTCTTAGGTTATGCTTACTCCCAGGGCTCTCCATTAATAATTTTTTCACACAGCTAACAACTCTGTTTTTAAATGAAGAGGTTGTTTTTTAATGCTCAGAGGCACATTCTTACAAGTATTCAGTTTCTTTGATCTTTGCTATATGAAAAACAAATACAACAGAACCTCTTCTATAGTCTATCCGGTCTCTCAGATAGGGAGGGAAATCAAATAGGATATTGACGGCTCAGACCTGGGGATTGTCAGAGAAGCAAAATGACCTTAAGAGATTGTGCAGGGCAGGGGTGCCTGGCTGGCTCAGTCGGAAGAGCATGCGAAGTTTGATCTCGGGGTTTGTAAGTTCGAGCCCCATGTTGGATACAGAGATTACTAAAAACAAACAAACAAACAAACAAAAAACCCACACACCACACACACACACACACACACAAACTTTAAAAAAAGAGAGTTCGTGTACGGCAGAAAGGGCCTCCACACAAGTGTGCCTAACCTAGCTGATAGCTTCTAGGTGGGTGTTTGTGTGGGGGAGAAAGTAGTGTTGAAGAGGAGGCTTTTATGTGTATAAACACCTGGAGAGCAAAGAGATGAATGGGAGAGAGAACATGGGGGTGAGTAGAGGGGGTAAGATGGTGGTCATACTCCAGCCTGGCCCAGGGACTACATCTGAGTCCAGCAGCAAGATGGGCTACTGGAACATGCCATTATCAAAAGGAAAGGGCCCCATTGTGCTCAGGTAACAAAGCGTAACATGGAGTGAAGAAGGGAAAGGAGTGACAGATTAGATACTTAACCTGGCTTGCCTGTAACATTTATAAAATTTGCAGGGGTCAGAAAAAGAGTTGGGTTGGGGATCTACATACCCTATGTCTAAATATTTCAAATGTTTGAATCACCAAATACAGCATGTTTTATTGAATGATTTATCTCCTTCCACAACACATGTACCTTCATAATGACCTGAAAGGATTTAGAATTCTCAGACTCCTCTAAGTCCTGCTCCGATGATGTAGGAAGAGCTGCCCCCCAACCCGTCTCCTAGACCAGGCCCCATCCCCTGTTTCAGGCACACGACCCCCTCCCCCTGAGGCCTGGGGGCACGCACACCGGCAGTGCCGTGTCAGCCCTCGCGAGGTCAGCTCTCAGAGGAGCACGCAGGCCCTGGCAACGGGCTTGGGGCGGTTCCGGGGGGCCAGGGACCTGGAGGGTGGGCAAGCAGGGGCACACTCCTCGTTCCCGTGGACGGGACTCCCGGGCCTGTAGGGAGAGGCGTGGCCAGAGGAGGACCAAAGTGGGGCCTCGACAGCAGGAGCTCAGGACACCGGTCCCCCTGGCTTGGGTCTTAAAGCAATCGTCTACAACAGCTCCCACGGCGTAAACACTAACCGGAACCAGTTCGAAGGCCCTCAAATCACACTACCTCGGCCTGCTCTTTCAGTTTAAATAATGGTGACAAAGAGCCCTCTGCCTTCTATTTCACCATGTGCTTCTAGCCATAAGGAATATTACGTGATAATACATTTTAAAATGTCAACACTGGTGACCAAACACGGAGTTGTGGGAGTGTGACGTGTACTTCATTTTAGCAGACATGAATTACACCTAATTAGGGCTTTGGGAAAGAAAGATAAAACCCTTCAAGGTCAGCCCGGGGATCGGTGGTGGTGGAGTAGGGGGTACACATATGGTAGACTATATGTGTGAGAAACGGAGCTGTGTTAGCACAGGACGTGAGAGAAGGTGTCTCATGCCACCAAGGGGGCACCCAGGAAACCTTAACGAAATGCAGAAATGACGCCCTCTTCTCTCAAACCCCTGGGCCCTTCCCCTTCTCTGATCCTCTGTTCGGGTCAAGTATGACCTTATCTTTTCTTTTTCCTGAAACAGATTCCAGAACTTTAGTACATTCTCTCCCTTTCTGCTTTTATTTTCATTATCGTGAAATATTTCAGATCTCCACAGGATAGAATACTCTGTCAAAGTCTGTGTACCCACCACCCAGCTTAAGAAACGTAACATTACAAATACAGCTGAAGCCACTGCGGAGCCCTCCCCGGTGGGATTCCCCTCCCTTTGTTTCCCCAAGAAGTAGCCCCCATCCTGACTGAGTTATTTACCTTTCCCCACGCATGCTGTCACACACGCTGCATTTGTATGCATCTCTCCTGCGCAGGTTTTTACCCCAGACATCTGTATCTGCCGTCAATACGTGGTGATCATTTTGCATGTTTTTTAGACTTCATACACAGGGTATCGTGTTTGCATCCTTCTGGAAGCAGCTCTTTCCCTTATGCTGCTTTCTGCTGCCATCACCCCCTCTGAGCCGCTCTGTGTCTCAGCCCCCTGTGAGTTCTGGTCTCCTCCCCAGGCCAGCGCTTGCCGTCCTGTCCAGTTTACCTGCAAGCCCCAAGCCAGTGAATGAAGGCTGCTTCTACCACAGGTGAGTCTCAGCTTCTTCCCCTGTGGCTCTTTTTTTTTTTTTTTTTTAAAGATTTTATTTATTTATTTGAGAGAGAGGGAATGAGGGATAGAGAGCACGAGGGGGAAGAGGGTCAGAGGGAGAAGCAGACTCCCCGCTGAGCAGGGAGCCCGATGTGGGACTCGATCCCGGGACTCCAGGATCATGACCTGAGCCGAAGGCAGTCGTTTAACCAACTGAGCCACCCAGGCGCCCTCCCCTGTGGCTCTGAACCAGCGCTTCTGAGACCTGAGCTGCATCAGCATCCCCTGAAGGGCTTGTTCAAACACAAGAGTGCTGGGCTTATCCTCAGAGTTTCTGCTTCAGTAGGTCTTGGGTAGAGCCTAAGAATTCCTGAGTGATGCTGATGATGCTGTTGTGGGGACCAAACTTCGGGAACCAACCACTGCTCTAAAGCAGTGTCTGGGCCCAGGCTCAGCAGCACCATCTGGCCTCGAGGCCAGCTAAGCCATGCAGGAGGTTTCCGTCAAAACCATGTTCTAGGGCGCCTGGGTGGCTCAGTAGGTTAAGCGTCTGCCTTTGGCTCAGGTCATGATCTCGGGGTCCTGGGATCGAGCCCCGCATTGGCTCCCTGCTTAGTGGGGAGCCTGCTTCTCCCTCTGCCCTTCCCTCTGCCCTTCCCCCTGCTCGGGCTTTTTCTCTCTCTCAGATAAATAAATAAAATCTTAAAAAAAAAAAACCCAAAACACCCCACCCCCACCCCCTGCTCGGGCTTTCTCTCTTTCTCAAATAAATAAATAAAATCTTAAAAAAAAACCATACTCTAGAGCAGCACTGTCTAATAGACATATAATGCAAGTCACATGTGTAATTTTAAGTTTTCTAGTAGCCACATTAAAAAGTAAAAAGAGGGGTGCCTGGGTGGCTCAGGCAGTTAAGCATCTGACTCTTGCTTTCGGCTCAGGTCATGATCTCAGGGTCATGGGACTGAGCCCCGCGTCGGACTCTGCGCTTAGCACAGAGTCTGCTTGTCCCTCTCCCTCTTCTTCTCACCCCTCCCCGTCAAGTGAATAAATAAAATCTTTTAAAAAGAGTAAAACGAAATGGGCAAAATTAGTTTTAACAGTATATTTTAACTCAATATATTATCGTTTCAACATGTAATCCATATGAAATAATCAGTGAGTTAATGTGACATTTGTATACTTAACAGCACATACCAAATTAGACTAGCCATATTTCATAGCCACGTGTGGGTGTAGTTACTAATGTCGTGGACAGTGTAGCTCTAAAGACCTGACTTACATCTCTCTCCTTACAAAAAGTGTTTTAAACTTGACATTTTATTTTATTTGGGGCTGTGATAAACTAATTTAAAATAGGCTCACCAAATGGTGTGGAAAGTGATACCTTTCAATGAAGGTACGGTGGGCCAAAACAAAGAGGAAAAAGAGAGATTTGAGTCAAGATAATTTAACTAAGGAAAATCTGCCTACATTCCAGTGTATTAATTTAAAACAAACTTAGTTTTAACTAGAACAAATGCTGTCAAATATATCTGTCAAACGTAAGAGAAGAGTCGCATTTCATTGGATATCACTTTTTGGGTGATGCAGTTTGGAATGACATCGGTGTTAATGAAATTCCCGTGGGCTTCTAAAAAATGAAAAACCTAAAAATAATGAACAACACATTCTTTCTTCTTTCTTCATCTTCTTTCTTATGTGCCAACTGCGGGATGAAATGAGAGAAAATGAGCAGTTAGGCAGCATTAACCAGCACCAGTGACTTTCTAAACCTGTGAAAACAGCCCTGTGTACATGTGCTGCCTTTGGGTGCTGGATCTCAGCAAGTGGAGGACAGCACACTCTCCTCTTGTCACCTGTGCCCTTGTGTATAGGGTGCTCGGGCAACCCATGGCTTCCATTCTGTGATCATACCGACCTTGTCTCCCTCTTGCCTAAGTCCGTAAATGCTTCCCCCACCCCACCTTGAGAGGCCATTCTGGAATTTACGGAAATCCCTTCACCTTAAAATCCTCTGCTCATTCCACAGATGACACTCCCTTACTCTCCCAGACCCTCGGTCTCCCTATCTACCATACAAGAATGAGGCTGTGATTATGAAATACACAGCTGTGAAAATGCAAAAAAAAAAAAAAATGTTAATCATTTCAATACATTCAAAGACAAGATACACCTCAAGACTTAATTGCCAATTCAGTGATAAGTCATAACCATACTATGACTAAGTTTCCTTGGACTGTCACATAAAATACAAAAATCTACACCTGAATACTTAGGTATTAATCATTAAGTGTGGTCCTCCTTGAAATTCTTGACTTTTTGCTCTTTGTATGTAATCACCTTCGCAAAGGCATTGTCTCTCCTAGTAAGTACAAGGGGGTACATTTCCATGGCCAAGTAATGAATGTCCAACTAGTGCACAGCCCAGCCACTTTCACTGCTGCTTCTGCTAACCGTTCTCTAAACAAACATTGGTCTCAGTTGCTGATACAAACTACCACTTGTTAGTAGTCTTCCAGGTAGAGGACAAAAGACCTCACAAGAACGAATGAGCAACCATGAAATATATTTCAGAACATACTGTACTTTCTATTACCAGGTACGTGAGTATTCTATTAATGTTCTAAGCAGGTAAAACTGAATTTTTAGACTAATTTTAAACACGCTTCTTAATTTACTGGGAGAATTGAAAAAAAAAAATAAGACTGTCAGTAACAGGTAAATGCCAGGAATGGGGCGGGGGGTGATGTGCAAAGCTGTACCGATACCTGGATTTTCTGGGCCTGTTCTCTGTTGGGGCAGATCTTTTTTAGTCGGGTCCTTCTTGTTTTTTGTTGAACTTGTCTTTTTCTTCGTCCCTTTCAGAGTCGTGGGCCTCTTTGTCAGACTTCTCATACTGATATTTAGTTGTTCCTTTGGTAAAGAATAATACAGACTTTGGAGCAGACATTCACAGGGAAAACCATCCCGATGCGTGATGAATAGTGACACCCAGTACTCTACCCAGAGGAGAAGCAGGAGGCTAGAAGGGACTCGGAAAAGGAGAGGTGGGAAGCTTCCCGTAGGTTGATACGACCCCTCCATGGCCCTCACCGTTCTGCCGCTTGATCACTTACTCTCACGGTGACATTCCTAACAGTCAGTCACCCTGCCACCCTGTGCTGCTGACTATTTCGGGCCCTTCTGAGAAGAAGGGATCAGAATCATCAGGGTCTGCTGCCTTCCGTAAGTTTTTGTCAGGGATTTCTCACAAAGATGTTGTGCCTCAACGACACATTCTGTGGTGAAGCTCGTTAGCTCCTCCACCCCTGAATACTTCACTTCTACCAGGCGCTCGCGGGTCAGTTCGTAATGATCGGGGACGAACTTTTGGAGACTCCTGACAGTTTTAAAAGCCCCGCGCAGAAACGAGGTGTGCCATTGGCTCGGTCTAGTCCTTCAGGCCCCGGCCCCCTGCGCGGACAGCCGCCCGCGGCTCCCGCGCTGTCCCGCGGCGCTCAGCCGTCTCGGCCGAGGCTGCCAGGGGGTCTCACGCTTCCTTCTCAAAGTCGTAGGTCCCTAGGGCGTGGGGCTCCCGCTTGGGCCCTCGGCCTTGGGTTTGGGGGAAGCCCGAGCCCGGCTTCGGGGCCCGGGCCGCCCGCAGCCCCCGCCCCCCGGGCGTGCCCCGCCCTCCTCACCCTTGGTGGTCGCCCGGCCCTCCTCAGGCTCCTGGTCGGGCTCCTCCGCCGTCTCCCAGGCGGCCTCCTCCTCGGACGAGCCCTCGGACTCGCGGGCCATGGCCGGTGCCGCCCGCGCCGGCGGGGCGGCGGGGGGCGCGGGGTGCCCGCGGGGGCCGCGGGGCGGCCAGGCCCGGGGCCGGAGCGTCCCGCGGCCGCCATGGGGCCGCACGAGGATGTGGTTGTTGTAGTAGACGCGGCACAGCAGCGAGTGCACCAGTTCCAGGAACATGAAGCGGAAACCCACCATGGGGAACTGGTGGGCGTCCACCAGGTTGTCCAGGCCCTCCTGCGGCTGCTCTGCCCCATCCTCCTCCGCCGGCCCGAAGTCCGAGTCGTCCTCCTCGGCCGCGGCGCTCCCGCCCTCCCGGCCGCGGGCCAGACCCAGACCCAGAGCCAGCGCAGCGTCCCCGAGGCCTCCCACGGGCCCCGCCACTTCGACCACCTCAGTCCGGGGGAGCCCGGACTCGACGGCCACCTCCATTCG